GCCTCTGGCTTGCACTTTCACTGCTGTTCCTCCGTGTTGGCGGGGGGGGGGCTCCGTATGGTGCAGTCCCTCAAAGAAAGAGGGGCTCTCTCCCAGGACACGGGGCTACTGGGGGTGGGACGAGATGCTGGGCGGGAGGTCCCAGGCTGGTTCTCTGGCCAAGTTGCTTGGGGTGGCACACGGTCTGCCACAGGAGCTCGGCTGGTCCACAGGCCTCAGCGGCATGGCATCACTTCTGGGGCCAGCACGGCCCCAGGAGGGAGTGGGGTGGCAGAGTTCGAATCCCCACTTCCACCACGGCAGCTTGCTAGGTGACCTTGGGCCCATCACAGACTCTCGGCCTGGCCTACCTTGCAGGTTTGTTGTGAGAGAACAGAGGAGAGGGGGGGATGCTGTTGTGAGTCCCAACCAGGGAGAGAAAAAGCGGGATACAAATAAATGAATGCAAAACGCAGGCGTCAGGACCAGCCTCCTTGCTCACGCCACGGGTCACGTGGGTTGGGGAGGCGGGGGTGCATGTTCCATCTTCCAGGTCATGTCAAACAGCCCAAGAGCTTTATTTTGGGTGCACATTTGGGGGGGGGGGCTCAGCGGAGGTCTTTCTCTCTCTCTGTTTCCTTTCCCAGCCCTGTCCCCCGGACCCCAGCAGGAACGCGCCTTGATTAAACCGAGAGATGAGTGCTCCCTAGACGTGTGGGAGATGTGCATGGCCCCAGATGCGATCGGGTAGCACGGAGTCCAGGCACCGGTGGGCCTGCTCTTCCCCTCTCTGCCCCCCACCGAAGCATGTGAGCTTTGCCCCTTCTGTTTCCTGCCCCACAGCTGACCCGCAGAGGGGTGAGGTGCCTGTGATCACAGCTGGCTGAGGAGATAACCCCGGAGGGGGGGGAGGCAGGTTTTCTGGCTGCTGACCTCGCGGGGTGCTTGGAATTTTTTCCACCCGGAGTGAGTGGGGGGTGGAAAAACGAGCGGAGAGATTAAATAATTAGGAAAGACTTGGCTCCTGATTCTGCATGCAGCCTCAGTGGAGTTAATATTGAAAGCAAGGGTGCTTTCGAGCATGTGCAGAGTACTGCCCAGTCAGTACTGAGGAGCGGTCACTCATCTGTGCAGAGTGGAGAAGGGCTTCCAAAGTGGCACCCCGATGCGATCACGTGGCGCAGTGACGGCCCGTGGGGTGTTGTGGGTCTTCTGCCACAGGCCTCAGCCCAGCCTTCCTCTCTCTTCCTGCCTCAGTTTCTCCTCTGGAAAATGGAAGTCTTTCTCTGTGCTTAAGGTCCAAATGGAAGTTGTTCCCCCCCCCACAAGCTGGGAAGTGGCTCTGCTCCACTCTCACCACGGACCCTTTGGCGGCCACAGACCAGGGAGCGTGTTGCAGAGTGGCTGGCCCTGAAAATGCCCAGGAAGCCGAGTGGTAGGAGGCCTCCTGATGGCCCCTGTGTGACACCGAGTGCTGGACCGGGTGGGCCACTGGCCTGATCCAACATTGGCCTCTCTTATGTTCTTATGTCTGGGGCAAAGGGATGCTCTGTCTTGTTGGCGCTGGGGGGGGGGCAACACTGTGGCAGGGCTCCTGGAGTCCTGGCCCTGCTGGTGGACCTCCTGAGGACCCCTGGGCTCTTTGGCCACTGCGTGAAACAGAGTGTTGGACCGGGTGGGCCACTGGCCCGATCCAACATTGGCTTCTCTTACGTTCCGAACACTCTCACCACTGCCCCACACGGGCTCTCATTTCCCACCGTCAGCCCTGCTTCCACTGGGCCAGTCCTGGTACCGAGTGCCCAAATGCAGTCCAGTTGGTTCGCACCAACCTCCTGTGCCATTGCCACCGTTCCAAGGCAGGCAGAAATCCAGCTCTTGTTCCCGCTGTGTCTTGTGGGATGGTGAGTCGCATCTGGGGCAATGCCCCCTCTAAGCTGTGGAGTCTTGTGAGCAAAAATTCTACTTTGTGAGCCGCTGGCATTAAAGTTGTGAGCGAGCCATTGTGAGCCAGAGGCTAAAAAACTGTGAGCTAGCTCACACTAACTCAGTTTAGACGGAACACTGATCTGGGGTAGGAGAGGAGGGAACCTGGGTGGGGGGTGGGGGGGGGAATTTTAAGAGGCATCGGGGACCAGAACCAAGGGTTCTGCTGGGCCCCCCTCGGCTCTCCCCGCTGCCAGGAGAGAGAGAGAGAGAGACTCTCCGGCCAGGACAGCTTTTCCGGCCTCGTCTTCCCTGGCCTGACCGGGCAGCCCTGCCAGAGCGGAAAGGGCAGGCGATTGTTTCATTCCGGATGGCTGGAGCCAGGCAGGAAAAGCCATGAAACCCGGCCTCTCCAGGGTCACCGCCCGACTTCTGCCGAGCCCCCCCCCCGCCCG